CAGTCTGACACTCACCCAGCCCCCCTCACCTTTATCCAAGTCTCCCTCATCATTGCCTTATCCATATACTCCACTAATTGTACATCTTCCAGTATTCTCTGCGATTCTCAACCACCGTAGCACCCCCCACAACACTCAACTTGATAATACTGAAATAAGGTGCTAGTCATGGTACTGTATTTAAATAGAAGACTTTTCGTCTCCAGGAACTTTGTAATTCATGCAGAAAGAAAAAATAAGGTTCATAGTGACTGAGGAAAGATCTGTGAGATATCGAGTTAGTTCATCATGGTCTGCTGGATCAACCAGGCTGGGGTGGATTTGTGGGCCAGCAGACTGCCAGCAAGTAGCAGAAGACAAGCTTGTTTCTTGGGCTGGGCTGCAGGGTATAAAAACTCTTGAAATCCATCAAAAGGTAAAATCAAAGGGGTGGGGTCTCAGGTGATGACACTCTTGGATTTAGGTAGGATAAAACTTTGCTTCAGCCTCGGAGATGGTGAATGACCCAGAGTTTTCGGAAATACATTGAAGCACTCTATGTCCTTAACCTAGACTATTGTATTTTCTTGTGTTTTTAAATTTCAGTATTTGTAGCAGCCTTTGCTTTGGGTGTTTGGGAACCCTCTTAGATTAGTGAAATGGTTACGACAGTTTTTGGAAATGTATGTGGCAGTGACAATGCAGACATGAAGGAACACAATGATAGCTTGATGTTTCTCAGGCCATTGATGTGACAGACTACAAGTAATTATTATTATGATTATCATTGTGATTAATATTATACAATACAGCCCCTCTCCCATTAATGGCGGAGTTCTGTTCTATGACCGTGTTGTTTTAAAAGAATTCATCACTAAGTGAGGAGCATACTATAATGGTAGTGGGTTTGTGTCACCTATTTTGATATTGTTTTAGTGTCACCTTTGCACCACTTGTAACAATTTCTGTTATATTTTTGAATGTTTATACAGTAGTGTACTGTAAATAACAAAAAAAAAGGCACAATACCGTGATGGAATGATACACAAATAACCCGCACAAAAAAGAGAGGAGTTTTACGACGATGTTTCGGCCCCGACTTGGACCTTTTACAAAGTCACACTGTAGTTTTGTAAAGGGTCCAATCGACCCAAACGTCGTTTAAGTTCCTCCTTTATGGCGGGTTTTTTGTGTTAGTGTCTGTATATTGTATTAAAAGAATAGGGGAAATCGCTCTAAAAACATTATTTGGGTATGCATACGGTCAGAGGCCGTCGAAGCCCAGTCATGGAAAAAACAATATGTCCTAATGAGGAAGGCTGTAGTAGTTTTAGTATTTAGAGTTTGTATAGTATTTTTATTTTTAAATATGTACGTTTTTAAAAATTAATTTTGGGGTCACACTTTTACAGTTAAACCCTTTTGACGTTTACAAGTAAAAAATTTTTATGACCCAAATTTTTTCTGATTTTTAACGCAAAAATTCTAGCGGCTTAAAATCAAGCGGAAAAGGCCGGGTAGGCCTACATGAGAGAGAATGGGGTCTCAGTGGCCCGGTTGTTCACCCTGTGAAAAAAATCGGGGCCTCAGGGTGCTTGGGGGAACCCCATCATGTTAGTCCTTTTCCCACCAGCCCCCGGGTAAAGTTCTCACCCCTGGGCGGATTGGGAGGTCTTTTTTCCCAAGTGATACCTCAGGATGAAAAAAAAAGTCAGGACAGTGAATTCCAGGGTTTTGAAGTGTTTTTTTTCCGGAAAAAGTCCCCAGGATAACGTAATTATGATGAAAACCCAGAGCCCAAAACCCCTTCCACCTCTGGTGCGGGGCCCGGGGTTTTGTTCACTTCACGGTTCACTTGTTAAAAGCCTGACCAGGAAGAAAGAGAAACTATTTGTCTGTAAAAACACCCAGATGATAGCAGTGAATGTATGTGATAGTGATATGATTTCAAGGTCATTGAAAGCAGTTCTAGTACAGTGGGGGTGAAATTCCCCAGTGAAGGGGCAGTATGAACACGTACAGAGGTCGATAGTGTTTCTTTGTTTTCCAGGGAAAGAAATCTGGGACCACATCCCTTGGCCCTACCCACACCTTAGTGAAGATGACGATTTGAAACGGGGTATGAATGATGTGATGAGGACAGGCAGGGGGTGGTGAAGGAGGGTGGCAGGGCCCCATGGGGCACCATCAGGGGGCCCCACTCTACTACCCAGCTGCTGATCTGCACAAAAACCCACCCCGACCCCCACCCCCAAACCCACAAAACCACCTCCCTGACCCCACACCCCCACAACCGCATAACCAAAACCCAAAGGGTTACAATATCCAACCCCACCAGCCACCGCATCGGGGATTGGCGGGGACAGTGACGGTTTTTTCCCCAGTCCCCATGATTTTTGATGAAACACAAAGTGGAATAAAGCCCATGTCCACTTGGGGGAACAATCCCCGTGAACGGGACTGCTTTGAGTTATTTTTTCGTAAACCCCTGATGGACAATTTGTCAGGGAAAAAAACACTACTGTGATTACACCATGGCAAATACAATTCTCCACCAAAATCAGGGGCTACACAAGTGGAAGGAGCCAACTGGGCAGAAGTACTTTTTTTTTTTTGCCACAATAATGCTTATGCCACTGTGTTAACACACGTCACCACAACGGGCAACGAACCCCCTGATTTCAACTCCCGTTTTAGTGACATTAAAGGTGTCAATCGTTTTCCCTTTTTGTTACGTAGTTACAAATTTTTTGACAAAACCAGGCCGAAGAAGCGACAGGGGTTTTATAAATAAAAATGTGTTTTTGACCTGAAACAAAAGTCTGCATGTTTTTTTATCCTTCAGGAACTTGTTATTGATGATCCTTATTTTTTTCAAAGGAAGACTTATTCAAGCCCAAAATATACCAAGCAAGAGGGGGAAAAAGCTTTGGTATAAAGCTTTTGTACTGTGTGATTCAGAAGTGGTCTAGTTTTGGATATCTTGTTACACTGGGAGTAATAAATTTGGGGGATACCATGAAGTTATTGTACTCTGGTGAGTGGTTCGAACAAGATGGAACCCAAAATTGGGAAGGGGGTATGTTTTTACTGAAACTGGTACACAAGCCCCTTTTCAGTATTTCTTGCGAGGAACTTGACAGCGTGTGTGGGACAGTGCAAGGTAATCGTAAACATATCCAAGGTTTTGAGGGTGGCACTCGCAGAGGGAGGTCAAGCCTTTTCGCCTACATCATGGCATTTCGGTGGGAAAGACAAACTGAGTCACATTATTGACATCAGTTTACGAAACAAAAAGTACACAGTGGCAGGCACAACAAGAACCAATGAACCCCTTCTAAAGCCTGCAGCTGTCATGGCTACAACCCCAATTCCTTAGTGGCAAATGTACATGCAGATTGGGTTTGCAGCTGGTACGAAGAGTTATAAGTGGTATATAAAAATTTTTTTCCTCCCCTTTTTGATTCCAAAGCTGAATGCTTAAACATATCAAATTTGAAGGACCAACAAAAAACCCCAAAAAATGGTGAATTTTTTCTTGTCAGAATCAGACAAAAATTTCAAAAATACCAGGGGAACCCCGCAATAACCAGCACCCCCCGAAATTACCAACAACGCTCTCGTTTCGGGGCCCCCGCAACTGCCTCCACAAAGCCAAGAAAAAAGCTCAGAAAGGTGTTATGATGTACACAACCACAAAAAACCCCACAAAACGCAGAGACACTCGTTTTTTATGTGGAGGGTGTCAATCCCCTCTGCATATCCCCCTGTTTCGAAAAGTTCCACAAGCGCAGCATTCTAGACTGTTTTTTTGACTGTAATTGTATTATATGGAAACAATAGTAATAAAAATTGTTTTTTTATTTTTGTTTGTGTAAACAAATGTATACACAAAATAAAAAGGGTAAGTTTTTTTTGTTTTTTTGTTTGTAAACGAGTGTATTTTGAAACAATGCACCTTACATTTGGGGTTTACGGCCCCATAAATTACCGGAAACAGAAAAAAATTTAAAAATGCAAGAAACCCTTTTAATTAGAGTAAATAAAAGAATACCGGGTGGGCGGGGATCGGGGCCGCTGTTGCCGATCACGTCACTTTTGCAAAATTGAGCTCATATCTTGGGAAATACTGATGGCAAAAATTATTTTTGGCTTTTAAAAAACTCAAAAAATTTTTCCTAACATTTTCATAAGAAAAAATAATTTTTTTTTTTTTCGAATATTTGTCGTCATAGAATGACAGTTTCAGAGAGGGGCCTGAAACAGTCAAAGGGTTAATTAACTTTACAGGGCATGTCTAGAAAAGTGTGTACAGTGGACCCCCGGTTAACGAACTTTTTTCATTCCAGTAGTATGTTCAGGTGCCAGTACTGACCGAATTTTTTCCCATAAGGAATATTGTGAAGTAGATTAGTCCATTTCAGACCCCCAAACATACACGTACAAACGCACTTACATAAATGCACTTACATAATTGGTCGCATTTGGAGGTGATCGTTAAGCGGGGGTCCACTGTAATTCCAAACGTCTTTACTACGGGTTGATAGGAATAACTCATTGTAAGCTAAATGAGCCCATGTAAATACAGTATACATAATTCATTGTTTTTCTGTAGGTATGTGCTTTTCTTTGATGTGAGGGACTTGAGTGTATCCCTAAAGGTGTGCATCAAGCAGTGCCCAGATGTTACACTCCACACACTTCAAGATATTCATGATTTTTACAACCGTACGGGATCAAAACTTTGCAGGTAGGTGATGCTCTGCTAGTTACAGAGCGCAACTTGTATGTCTAAAATGCTCAGCATAACTTAGGGCTTTATATAAATTAAAATACCTCTCACCTGATTTTGTATGTCGTATTCTTATGGAAATGAAAATTTAAATTTAAATTTTAATTTGATAGCTGTCTTGCTGGATTATATTTCAAAGGAAAGCAGCTGATTGTCTCTACTTTTATATGCTCTAAACTCTTGCTGCTGTGTGTCAACATTCTCTTCAGTAATCTCCAGCAATTGGAAAAAAATATTTAAATGTAGACATAGGCTGTGTAAGTTGTACCGTGTACAGTGGAACCTCGGTACTCGAACCTAATTCATTCCAGAGTGCTGATCTGTTTGAGTATTGAACAAATTCTTCCCAACCAATTTTCTTTTTGGTTGTCTGTTATCATTAATCTTCGTAGGCCCCATGGTGACTTATTTATACAAATACAAAACACACCAAAAAATATGAAGAAACACGAAATAATTTACAGTGAAGGTCTAGCATTTCGTGATTGTTTGGTCAAGTACCGAGCTTTGTTCAGGTAAGGAACTGTTTGTGTACCGAGGTTCCAGTGTACTTATAGAAATAAAGATTATTATTATTTTTTTTTTTTTTTTTTTCAACAAGTCGGCCGTCTCCCACCAGAGACTGAACCATAGGCTTAAAAACTACTCATAGATCTATTTTTTATTATATGGGATCATATTCTAATCACAAAGGGAGGGCAGTTAGATTGTCTTGTCACCAGACATCATCTAACCAAAAAAAAAATTATTTTAGTTTAATGCCTTGTCCTGCAGATTATTACAGGTCTTGTCATTGGCATATGTATAATTAATGCTCCTTTCCTTTTATTTTATTGTATAATCATGATTTTTAACTTTGAATACACACACTATTTGTTTTTCATGCATTTTATTCATTGCTTAATATATTCTACATTAAAGTTTAAATTTTCTTTTCTCACATGCTAATCAACATTATCTGATTTAGTGTAAGTATATTAAATAATTTATTTATATTTTGTACATATTATAGTAGTAAGAGAAATTATATAGTTAGTGAGGAAGTTTGAAAGTAATTGTGTAAGAGGGGCATTGCTTTATGCAATAAATTTGTTCTGGATAGCAAAATAAAGATAAATGGAAAGTAAAGGAGAGATTGGAGAACTAGTTGGAGCAAGGTACTGTATAATGCCCCCTTGACATATTGATGTGTATACGTACATGTTTACATGAACCTGACTCGCTGCTGCTGGAGTAATATATCCTTCATATGTTGTCTTAGTCTCAATTCTTCTGTATAAAAAACTTTCATTTCTTTTTCGGGTTACCCTGCCTCAAACCATTGTCATTATGATTTCTTGAGTCACTCTGCCTCGGTGGGATTATTATTATAATCAAGGGGGAAGCGCTAAACCCGGAGGATTATACAGCGCCTGGGGGGGATGTGGAAGGCATTCAGGCTTAATTTGGGGAACTGGAGCACAAATCCAATTCCCTAAATCAAGAGCCCCTCATCAACATCAAGGAACCTTCCTTGAGGGGTGCCGCGGTGGGAGACAGTCAGTGTGTTCAAGTAAATTAGCGATTCTTTTACTACCTATTTGTTGTGTACTATTGCACTAATAATTGTTCTGGATTATCAGTAATGTTAAATAATGGAGTGTAATAATAGAAAAAAAGTCTATTCCGTGGCTGGAACAATTCGCATATACTGTAACTCACACTGCAGAGGAGACTTCAGATGACACCTTGCTCCATCCTAGGTCATTATTAAGGTGTAACCTGATATGGTAGTGGTGAAGTATGGACTGAAACTCATCTAACACTTCTCCAAAGTGAGTCCTTGAGGTGGGAAGTACAATGCCTGCATCCTGAAGGAGGAGTAAGGTTATTGCAGTTCACAGGGCCATCTGAACTGTCATGCCAGCACATTTATGACAGTACAGTGATGGGATGGATGATGGTGAATGTGTTTCCTCTGTTTTGGGGGACCATGCTTCAATGGGAGATGGTTGGTGTGTTAAACCAATACTGTATTAAGACATGTATTTTAAATCAGCATTTAATTTATATCTCATTAGAGGTTAAGACATTTTTTACATTAAGAAAAAATATGGTTTATCGTGGTCTTGTTAGAAACTATTGATATGCATTTTTAACTCAGGTGTGTTTAAATTCTTTCAGATATGACTATAACATGTATGATGAAGATGTCAGTTGGGTTGAATCCTCTAACAACCCACCACTGAATGCAAGCTTACTGCTTGCTAAGTGCCCCACTCTACCAGTCTTTCAAAGGTAAGTCTATTTTCAGTTTTGTGAAAAGAGAGATGTTTACAATTTTTTTTTAAATACACTGGTCGTCTCCCACCTAGGTAGGGTGACCTGTTGATAAAGAAGCACTTTCACCATCATTCACTCTATCACTGTCTCACTAGAGGTGTTCAGTCACTATAGTTCAGATGCCCTTCCAAACTGCAAATATCTCCACCCCTCCTTCAGAGTGCAGGTACTCTAATTTTCACCTTCAGGACTCGAGTCCAGCTAACCAGTTTTCCTGAATACCTTCACAGAATGTTACCATATTCACACTACAGCAGCTCATCAAGTCCTAAAAACCATTCGTCTCCAGTCCTATCTTAACACGCTCACACACGACACTGCTGGATGTCCAAGCCCCTTGCACACGAAACCTCCTTTACTCTGTCTTTTCCTAGGGCAGTCTTTATCCCGCCTTCCCTCCACTACAGATTTATACACCCTCCAAGTCATCCCAACCTCTGCAACTTCTCTTCAGAATCTTCCAAAAACACAGTGTCATTGGCAAATAGCAGTGACAACTCTGCTATTTGCCAATGCAGTACCATAGCATTCATTTCTTTTACAACCTCATCTATAAATATATTAGCAACCATGGTGACATCACACATCCCTGCCTAAGGCTTACTTTTACTGGAAAATAATCTTCTCTCCTATATACACTAACATGAGGTACATTATCCTCATAAAAACTCTTAACTGCTCTCAGTAAACTACCACCTATTCTATACACTTGCAACATCTGCCACATTGTTTCCCTATCCACCCTATCATATGCCTTTTCTAAATCCATGAATGCAACAAAAACTTCCTTATCTTGATCGATATATTGTTCACTAATATGCTTCAATGTAAACACTTGGTCTGCACATCCTCTACCCTTCCTAAAACCTAGAAATATCAGGTGGAAATTGAGAGCATCTCTACCTTGGGACTTCTGATATTGCATTACTGTATTTTTTTCATTGGTTACCTTGTTCATTAAAGAACACGAAAATTCATTTCAGACACTCACTTATTCGAATGCCCTGACATGCTTACTTTCTCCACCCTCTTCTCTGAAGATTCTGCTTTTGTTGCAGGTTCTCTCTTTGATTTCTTCACTGATGCTAGTTTGCTATATCAACTGTGACATTCATCTTTTCAGCCAGTGTTTTGTCCTCATCACCATCTTTCCTTTCCTCCCAACCACAATTTTTTTCTTTTGTCCCCACTGCCATTTAGTTGTAGACATTTATAATTTACCATATTTTAACGAACATAATTGTAATTCCTATTGGTAGTAGGTTGGTAGACAGCAACCACCCAGGGAGGTACTACCGTCCTGCCAAGTAAGTGTAAAACGAAAGCCTGTAATTGTATTACATGATGGTAGGGTTGCTGGTGTCCTTTTTTCTGTTTCATAAACATGCAAGATTTCAGGTACGTCTTGCTACTTCTACTTACACTTAAGTCACACTGCACATACATATACAAGCATATATATACATACCCCTCTGGGTTTTCTTCTATTTTCTTTCTAGTTCTTTTTCTTGTCTATTTTCTCTTATCTCCATGGGGAAGTGGAACAGAATTCTTCCTCCGTAAACCATGTGTGTCGTAAGAGGCGACTAAAATGCCGGGAGCAAGGGGCTAGTAACCCCTTCTCCTGTATATATTACTAAATTTAAAAGGCGAAACTTTCGTTTTTCCTTTTGGGCCACCCCACCTCAGTGGGATATGGCTGGCGCGTTGAAGGAAAGAAGAAAGAATTGTAATTCCTTTCTGTCAGAATGCTCCATTTTCTTATTAAATCTTATATTACCTTTATGATATACTGCATTCTTCCAAATTTTTTGGTTTACATTGGACCACCACTTTTTAGATGTATTGGCCATCACTTGTTAGATATATTGGACACCACTTACATAGCTTGTACTCCTTGTAGCATTTGTGATTGTAGCTTCTTCATTCAGTAGTAATTAGGAGGAAAATGGGGGAAATCACTTGTCTTGCTGTCATTGCAGACAAACTGTTCGCAGCTTAATGCTTTTATTTTTCTCTCTCTCACTTTGTATATTTTTGCAGTGTGCAACTTTTCTTTTGTCTATTTTCCCATTTCTATCAGTAGTTGGCCAAGGCAATGATTGCAGAGGAGTCTTTAATGGTACAACACTTCACCATAAATTGGCTGTATCAAGTAAAGCCAATTTGTGTTGAAACTTACCGGTAAAAACTCCTGTGCGATCAGTGTCTTACTCGCCTTATTGTCAGTGCTTTGCCATTTCTCTAGAATCTACCAGTAGTTCCCTATCTGCAACATAAATTCCCTCTTCTCCACTGGGAAGTGGAGAAGGATCCTTCCTCTGTAAGCCATGCATATTGTAAGAGGCAACTTGAATGCCAGGAGCTAGAGGCCAGTAACCCCTTCTGTATTTATTACTAAATTTAAAAAGAAAAACTTTTTTTTTTTTTTAGGTCACCCTGCTTTGGTGGGATACAGCAGGTTCATTGAAAAAAAGAAAAAAGAAAAAACTTTATTCTTTTTCGGGTCACCCATCTTCAGTGGGAGACCGCTGTTGTGTTAAAAAAAAATATTCCCTCATGTGATTAATGTCTTATTTTGACAGTACTTTTAATCTAGATTTCAGTGATACTTTCACACTAGCTTACATGCTCTTCGGCCTAATACAAATATTAAACAAGCTGGCACTTGCAAATAATCATTGCTAGTTTCAATTTATTTATTAGAAATTTTTGAGTATGTGCAAATAATCATTGCTAGTTTCAATTTATTTATTAGAAATTTTTGAGTATGCAGTCATTAAAGAGAATCTTTTGCTGTTTTTATCACAAAGGCAATTCCCAACATGGCAGGGTGACCCAAAGAAAGAAACTCATTCACCACTCATTCAGAGATGTCTTGTAAGAAGTGTGGACATTACAGTTTGAATGACCCTCCGAGCTGTAACATTCCCACCCCTCAGAGTTCAGGCATATTTTGTTGCTGGAATGAAAGTTATGAGTAACCATGAATATTTTCCTCCAGCAATCCTGTACTCAGCTGTTGTGTGTCATTTAGTTGTGAGTAACCTTGTAACCATGAAGATTTTCTTCTAGTAATCCTGTATTCAACCATTGTGTCATTTGGTTGTGAATAACCTTGTACCCATGAAGATTTTCTTCCAGCAATCCTGTACTCAACTATTTGTGTCATTTGGTTGTGAATAACCTTGTAACCGTGAATATTTTCTTCAGCAATCCTGTACTCAACCGGTGTGTACCATTAAAAGGTGAAGGACCAAAAGGGGTCTTGTATAACCTTTATGGTTATCTCAACACCATGGATATCCTGGAGCAAGTGTTAGCAGACTTGTATGCTTCATGGCGCCTCATTCTCATCTTTATGTTTATTACTTTAGGTAAGAGTCAGGAAAAACTTTTTATTTTATTGCCTTTTAGGTATTGGGATATACTATAATGATGTGTAAACTGTAGTAGGTGAGCAGTGAGAAAAAGGTAATGCGAATGTAAAATTCGACTGCATTAGATCCATAATTAATGCAGTACAGTAGTTTCCTTCAAAATCATTATGTAGAATAATAGTGCACAATATCCTAGTGGATGTGATCAGGGAGATAATGAAACTGAAAAGTAAGTCAACTTTCACCTGCAAACTCCATATTTTTATTTTTTTTTATTAACATCGGCCATTTCCCACCAAGGCAGGGGTGACCCGGTACTCCATACAGTACCAATAATCTCTGAGGTTGCTTTCCCTGGATACTAATATTGCATTTTATGAAAAGAGAGGACTTATTTGTCATGTAATCATGCTCAAATTGTTTTGAATTGCATTGTACTACAGTTACTCAGTAGGACTTCAAACTTTTGGGTTGTTTCCCAACATAGATGAAAATATTTCAGGTGTTCTTTAGCTCAGTTGCTTGCGCATTCATTTCACACATCGAGGTCCATGGTTCAGTCCCTTGCTGTCCATCTTCACTTAGCAGTAAATAGCTATCTGGGTGATAGCCGACTGGTGTGGGTCGCATCCTGAGGACAGAATTAATCTATTTGCCCAAAATGCTCTGCATTACATGGGGTTTTCTGTATAGTATGTCATTGATGTCAGCTATGGTCTGTATATGTTATACATGTACTTGTAGAAATAAAGATTATTATTATTTTATACTATATTTAGAAGCAATGATAACACCTGTATTTCACCCTGTAGATTAATATTGTGGGCATCTGTTAGATTTTGGAAAGGTTCATGCTCATCCCATAGGTGTCTAACTTACCATGACTTTAAACAATGTCATGTTGATAGAACGTTTTGTCATCATGTGGTATGGCCCTACAAGTATAAATGAATGGGAGTGTAATGCTAAAACCACAGTTTGTTCATGTCGGACAAAAAAAATAGTCATCCCTGCAAAAGAAAAAAACATCATAGTAAAGTGGCTGGAACAATTCATCAAAACTTTCACTTAGGAGAGGTATCTCTCTTAAGTGCATGATTTTGGCAAAAAGTCCCAACAAATTTAAGCAAGGAAATGGGGGGGGGGTTACATCACTCACGGTCCTGCAAAACTAGAAGCCATGAATAATGCCACAGTAAGCGTGCAACAAGTTTTGTTTTAGATTTGGATTCATTTTGTGTTTCAGAATCCATATACAGTATAGGTGCAATATAGCACTCTAGTCTGTTAACCCTTTGAGGGTCGACAGGCCCTCTCCGAAACTTGTTCTCAGGGTCGGCCAAATTTAAAAAAAAAAAAAAAAAAAAATTTCTTATGAAAAGATAAAGAATCTTTTCCCGATCATAAGGACACCAAAAGTTTGAAATTTGATGGAAAACTTACGGAATTATGCTCTCGCAAAGTTAGCGGTCTCGGTGATGTTTATGCATCGGCGATTTTGCCCACTTTGAGCCCCATTTTCGGCCAATTCCACTGTACTAGTCGACAAAAAACATGAATATTTCACTAGAACTCCATTTTTTCTATCGAATGGGTGCAAGAAACCACCCATTTATGAAATTCAACTATCCAGTACAGTGGTCAGAATTTAGCAATTTTGCCAATTTCACACAAATTTCAAAAGATGCCAATTTCCGAATAGGGTCTAGAATAAACAAGAAAGACATTCCTGGCACTAAAATGACTTTTCCTCTGGTCATTAGTCACGTCTCAAGGCCCCTCTTATTTTCTTTTGCTTTCCACTTTGAATTTTTATTCTCACAAAAAATATAAGATTTACTTTATGCAGACTACTGCATTAGTGTAAAAAATGGTATAAATATTATTGGCGCACTTGTGGAAGAATATTAGACTCACCAGTTGACATGTATTGCACGCTTGGCACGATTTGTTTACTTTTGAAATTTGGTAAAAAATCGAACTTTTTGTGCTACTTTGGCTCAATTTCAAGGTATCTTTCATTGTAAAACCAGTCAAAATCATCTCAATTTCTGTAATATGTCTTCCATTCTATAAAATGAGACCAAGAAAACTAGAATACAACAATAAATACCATACGAAAATACAGTGCAAAGTCGCTGTTTTATTCCAAAAAAATGGTCAAAGTTTTTTTTTTCTCATGCACTGTGTGCTGCAGGATTTTTTTTAGACTGTGCACACTGACCACATAGATCCATTTTTTCATATGAAGGCCTACCAGCTTTCTCCCACTAGATTTGAGGGCGCTAGAATTTAGGCGTACTAGTACGTCAAAAAACCTGGGTCGTAAGCCGTAGTAGTACGTCCGAAACCCTCAAAGGGTTAAATGTTGACATTCATGAGAAATAATGACCATGATAAAAAAAAAAGATTACAATGTAGGAAAGCCATTGTGCCACAAAAAAAAAGGATAATTGCATGGATTTGCTGATTTCCCATCTAGTAAAAACATTGGATAATTGAAGCCTACAAATAAGGAAGTTGATGAGTTCGGAAGTACAACTACCTTATTTTTTTTTGTGTTTTTTTCAACAAACTGGCCATATCCCACCAAGGCAGGGTTGCCCGAAAAGAAAAACAAAAGTTTTTCTTTTTAAATTTAATAATTTATACAGGAGAAGGGGTTACTAGCCCCTTGCTCCCTGCATTTAGCCGCCTCTTACAACACGCATGGCTTAAGGAGGAAGAATTCTGTTCCACTTCCCCATGGAGATAAGAGGAAATAAACAAGAACAAGCACTAGAAAGAAAATAGAAGAAAACCCAGAGGGGTGTGTGTATATATATATATGCTTGTATACATGTATGTGTAGTGTGACCTAAGTGTAAGAAGTAGCAAGACGTGCCTGAAATCATGCATGTTTATGAGACAGAAAAAAGACACCAGCAATCCTACCATCATGTAAAACAATTACAGGTTTCTGTTTTACACTCACTTGGCAGGACGGTAGTACCTCCCTGGGCAGTTGCTGTCTACCAACCTACTTCCTATAACTACTTTATCTATTGTAATGATTTTGTTCCTTCTACCTTTTGTAGTTTTCAGATTTCTCGTACAAGGGTAACTTAGTTGAAAGCTTTTGCTTTGGAATCCAAGTACATTAGATGCAACTTATGGTACCCATCTTTTTTTTTTTTTTTTTTTTTTTTTTTTTCTTAGTTTTTGTGACTTTTGTTGTCTGTATTGGATAAACATACAAAAATTAAAGCCAGCATTGTCAGCTCTCATATAAAGGACCTCTACATAGTGCAGTATTTTGTAAATGTCGTTGGAAAAGTGTATTCAGAATTGAATAGCATTTGGAAAGGCTTTCATAGCACATAGTAGAGAATTTTGCACGCATGTTTTCAGTCACATTTGCAAAAAATCATACTATATAGAGGAGAAGAGAGCATGCTGTTTACATTTTAGGATGTAGATAGTTATCTGGTGGCATCCTGTTTATCTCTGGATGAGCCATCTCTTTACTTTCTGGCATGTCTTAGAGAGAGTCTGTTTTTCAGTATATGTAACAGGAAGGCCAGTTATACAATCATGCTTGATAAGGATTAAAATCAGAACCTGAATGAAGAATTGTAGAAACTATGATGTTTTAACAAAATATGAAGGCAATCAAATTGATGCCAAGAAAGCTATTGCTTTTTGGCCAGGATATGGCAGTCACTGGCAGTGATGTAATAGGATGATGCATTTTCTCTCTCTCTTTCATTCTCTCTCTTTCTCATTCTCTCTCTTTCTCTCTCATTCTCTCTCTCTTTCTCATTCTCTTTTTCCTCCCCTCACCCGTGTCCATTGGAAATATATTTTACCAATAATTTTTTTGGTAAATAACACCATTGTTATTATTATTATTATTTTTATTACAGTATAGCATCAGGAATCCGGAATGCTTGGGAGCAAGCCATGCCTGGACTACTAATCATTCCGGACCACTGATAATCACCACTGCCTGCCACAGGTGTTGGAGTAATAGCTGTGCATGATCTTTGCATCACTATTTTATGCACTTGGTTCACTTTCATCATACTTCATTTATAGGCATATACATGTACATTACAGGGCTCTGCACTCTTTTGTTAGAGATAGCTTCAGAGCTGTGTTTAGTCTTATGTGTCTGGTATCATTTGCTTGGTCGTATGTATCTGGTCTCGTGTCTGGTTGAACCGGCTCTCAGTGGACGATTATTGTTATTATTAATAAGAAGTTTATTTCAGCATGATAAATGATTGTACAAAGGAGTATGACAATTGGGTGTGTATGCCGAAAGCCCATTTATATGCAGAGCATTTCGGGCAAACTTAAGACTAACTTAAGATTAATAAGGCAATAACATGTGGTCACTTAGGTGATTGTAATTTTGAATTTAGGAGTTTACAATGAATATAAGAGAATTGAATATTCTATTAGTTCATGCTATATGGCTTTAATAAGTTAAATAGAGAGGAATGGCAGTTTTGATTATTAACCTAAAGCTGACACAATGGATTGATTAATGTTTGAGTGGATTACAGATATTGAGAGTGAATATATATTGATTATAATGTTTTACACTCAAAACTAAGTGCTAAACCCACAAGGGTCATACAGCACTGCATTCAGTAGGAAAAATCCTCCAAACCAGTCACATTTGTGTTGCACAAGTACAGGTTTTTCATGTGTATTACATTTATCCTGCATATGACTGGTTTTGTGGGTTATACCTTTGCAGCCCAGCCAGAGCCAGGGCTTCTTATTGATTGCCTGGTCAATCAGGCTGTTATAGCTAGGAGCCTGCAGCTCTAAACTGCCATCACAACCTGGCTTATCAGGAATAGGCAAGAGATCAAAGATCAGTTTAATCTTGAAAACCCTCTCTGTTCCAGCAATATTTCTTATTTCTGCTGGTGGCAGGTTCAAGGGATCTTGAACCACAGATGTTGATAAAGTGTTCACTAATTGTACCCATGATGCTCCTTGTTTTTTTTTTTTTTTTAATTTATTTTACCCTTTCTTGTATCTTTACCTCTTAATAAGCAATAATTGAGTGGAGATTGAGGACCTGACCTGTAGCATGTTAAAATTGCACTGATTACAATGAAGTATTGCAGGATGATGAAATGGTTTATTATTTTTATAATTCCTTTAAACTAGAGTTAGTTAAGTACATTGTTTACAAAAGTAGTGAATGATATTTGATGTATGGTAGAAGGACACTTATTGCAGGAGAAGCATTCTTTTTTAGACAACATTTTGCCAGTGAAGTAATGTTAACTGCTGTCTTCTTCCACTTATGATTTTTTCAACTTTTGGCTTTTAGTATTTGATGTATAGAGCTGCATCATTGAATTTGGGATATAAGGTTAGTAGTTAATTGGCTTAAGCCTATTGACACATGAAGGTCATTAAACTTGCATGTCACTTGTTTACTACCAGCCAAGAATACTTTAATCCCAAATTTGGGTCTTTTGGGACTAAAGTAAATTCTCAAGTGTATAATTACTGACCAGGAAACTGGTTAGCTAGACTTGAGTCCAGGAGGTAGGAAGTACAATGCCTGGACTTTAAAGGAGGGGTTTGGGATATTGGCTATTTAGAGGGACATCTAAACTGTTGTATCTGAGTGCTTCTGCAAGGGCAGTGATTATGTATGAATGATGGTGAAAGTGTTGAATGATGAAAGTTTTTTCTTTCTTTTTGGATTTTTTCTTTCTTTCTTTGTTGTTTTCTTTCTTTTTGGGTCACCCTGCCTTGGTAGGAAACACCCAATGTGTTAAAAAAAAAAAAAAAAAATACCTCCACATGTGCATGCCCTGGTGCTCTCAGTGCACACATACCATGAGAAGGATACTCATCACAATGTATACAGTTGGGATATAGTATAGATAAAATATAGTTTTATGAAGTGGCAAGTGAAAAATATCAGAATTTTTATATAATTTTATGATTTTTTAACTCAGCATTTTGGGTGAATGTATTTTCCAGATTTTTTTTACTTCATAATTGGCACAAATTTTATTTTTTGTCTCTCTCATTTTCTTAAGTTTTATTTTAGAGAATGGTAACTGGGATATATTGCGAACAAGCCAATTCAGCCCTATGAAAATCTTTACCAAGGAAATGTAAGCTATCTGTATCCACATAAAATAAACATGCACACTGATATGTACTCATATATCAGTGCATTTAGTAAAAGCTGACAGAGATAAAATATTATTCTGTATGATTCATCATTGGAGAGTGGAGAAGAATCCTTCCTCCATAAGCCATGTGTGTTATAAGAGGCAGCAAAAATGCCAGCGCAAGAGGCTAGTAACCCCTTCTCCTGTATATATCACTAAAGTTAAAAAGAGACACTTTCATTTTTCTTTTGGGGCTACCCTGCTTCAGTGGGGTACGTCCAGTTTGTTGAAAGAAGAAGAATCATAACTAAACTGATGATCTGTTGGAGTGTGAGCAGAGTAATATTTTGTGAAGGGATTCAGGGAAACCGGTTAGCTGGACTTGAGTCCTCAAGGTGGGAAGTACAGTGCATGCACTTTAAAGGAGGGGTTTGGGATATTGGCTGTTTGTATCTGAGTGCCTCTGCAAAGACAGTGATTATGTATGAATGATGGTAAAAGTTGTTGAATGATAAAAATTTTTCTATGTTTTGGGTTTTTCTTTCTTTTTGGGTCACACTGCCTTAGTGGGAAACAGCCATGTTAAAAAAGAAATTATGATTCAACGTAAAGTAAATCATAGGTAGTCCTACTTATTGGAAAAGTGAGTCTGTGTTTGTAATTCATTAATTGGTCCCACAGTGCCCGTATTGTAAAAGTGGAATGTCATAGGTTAGAACATTGTAAGTCATAACATCATAAGTCAGCATATTGTTTAGATGTTGTCATGCCCTTGGCACATTAGAGTAGAAATTGTAAAATAGGTTTTGTTCATTGAAGGTTAGTTTCTTTATAATTTCTGAAGATACCCTTGTTGTTCCTAAAACATGAATAATAATCACACTATCTTTCCTTTGTCCTAACAGGCTTGTCATGTGCTACGATGCTGTGCTTGCATTTATTGGCTGGGATTGTATCGTATGCTGTCATGATAGCTGTGTCAGTGGCCTCAGTTGGTAAGTCCAAAGTCTTTCTGTAAGTTACATGTTCGGGTGGCCCGGTGGCCTGGTGGCTAAAACTCCCGCTTCACACACGGAGGGCCCGGGTTCGATTCCCGGCGGGTGGAAACATTTCGACACGTTTCCTTACACCTATTGTCCTGTTCACCTAGCAGCAAATAGGTACCTGGGTGTTAGTCGACTGGTGTGGGTGGCATCCTGGGGGACAAGATTGAGGACCCCAATGGAAATAAGTTAGACAGTCCTCGATGACGCACTGACTTTCTTGGGTTATCCTGGGTGGCTAACCCTCCGGGGTTAAAAATCCGAACGAAATCTTATCTTATCTTATCTCTTCTGTGCATAAGTGACTTATGTAGTTTACTGAAAATGAGTTTCTGTATGTTTATCATTCTCATCTTTAATTAACTTTTTTAACACTTTAGTTGTTTCCCACCATTGTGTGGTGATCCGACGAAACACGTTGATCATTACACATACTTTGTCTTGCCAGAAGTGCACAAACATCACAGTTACAATGACCCTGTGAGTTGCTATGTGCTAACCAATCTTCAGAGTACGTATTAAAAATTACGGTGGGGAGGGGGATCATACAATATGTCAGAAAATAATTTCTTTCAAAAACTAATTTCACCCATTCAATAATAATTTAGGAACCTATAATTCTTGAATACATTGTTCATGCTGCTTGCTTAAGAATTCTTAGTCTCTCCAAATCCAAAAATTTAAGAGAACATGAACTGTGAAGATGTGTAGGAAAAGTACAGTCAAAATAATTCATCAGCTGGAAGTTAAAATATATATTTGTACCAGTTGTTTTCACTTGATATAGTTCTTTAATCATCTTAGGACACTAAAAAATATTCTTTGTTATTAACCCTTTGAGGGTTTCGGCCGTACTAGTACGTCTTACGCGCAGGGGTTTTTGACGTACTAGTACGCATAAATTCTAGCGCCGTCAAATCTCTCGGGAAAAGGCTGGTAGGCCTCCTTATGAAACAATGGGTCTATGTGGTCAGTGTGCATGGTATAAAAAAAATCCTGCAGCACACAGTGCATAATGAGAAAAAAAAAACTTTGACCGTTTTTTTGGCATAAAACAGCAACTTTGCACTGTATTTTCGTATGGTATTTATTGTTGTATTCTAGTTTTCTTGGTCTCATTTTATAGAAAAGGAAGGCATATCACAGAAATTGAGATGATTTTGACTGGTTTTTACAATGAAAAGTACCTTGAAATTGAGCTCAAAGTAGCGGAAATGTTCGATTTTTACCAAAGTTCAAAAGTAAACAAATCATGCCAAGCATCCAATACACGTCAACTGGTGAGTCTAACATTCTTTTGCAAGTGCGCCAATATGATTTATACCATTTTTTACACTAATGCAGTAATCTGCATAACAGTAAATCTTCTATTTTTCATGAGAATAAAAATTCAAAGTGGAAAGCAAAAGAATGTAAGAGGGGCCTTGAGACGTTACTAATGAACAGAGGAAATGTCATTTTATTGCCAGGAATGTATTTCTTGTTTGTTCTGGACCCTATTCGGAAATTGGCATTTTTTGAAATTTGTGTGAAATTGGCAAAATTGATAAATTCTGACCACTGTATTGGATAGTTGAAAATGGTAAATTGGTGGTTTCTTGCACTCATTCAATAGAAAAAATGTAGTTCTAGCGAAATATTCATGTTTTTTGTCGACTAGTACAGTGGAATTGGCCGAAAATGGGGCTCAAAGTGGGCAAAATCGCCGATGCGTAAACATCGCCGAGACCGCTAACTTCGCGAGAGCATAATTCCGTAAGTTTTCCATCAAATCTCATAATTTTGGTGTCATTATGATCGGGAAAAGATTCTCTATCTTTTCATAAGAAAAAATAATTTTTTTTTTTTTTAAATTTGGCCGACCCTGAGAACGAGTTTCTGAGAGGGCCTGTCGACCCTCAAAGGGTTAAGTGGTTTGGAGGAACTTAAAGATCACATCATATGAAGTGATCTTTATTTGGGGGGGGGGGGGTTGGACCAGTACACTAGAAGGTGTCAGTCAGATGATTAAAAGCTCCAGTAAGTGAACTTAGGTGAAATCTTTTTTTTTTTTTTCTTCTTGGCAAACAAATTGTGACCACCTATGGTACAATTATATACATGAGGACAACTGAGATAGGTATCTCCATTATCTCAGAATCCATGGTAATTAATAAATACAGTAATTTGAAGTATTTTGATGAATGGCAAGGTGATTTGGACACTTAGAGAGGATAGAGAGGGATAGGATGACAAAGAGGATGCATAAATCTGAAGTGGAAGGAAGGAGGGAAAGGGTCACCCTAGAATCAATTGGAAGAAGGGGTAAAAGGAGGTTCTCAGTGTTAGGGGGTTTGAGCATCAAGCATGTTAGATTAACCCTTTGACTGTTTCGGCCGTATATATACGCTACGAGCCAGTGTTTTGGACGAGTATATACATGCTCAATAATTCTAGCGGCTTCAAATCAAGCAGGAGAAAGCTGGTAGGCCCACATGTGAGAGAATGGGTCTGTGTGGACTGTAAAAAAATCCTGCAGCACGCAGTGCATGAGAGAAAAAAAACTGGCCATGTTTTTGGATTAAAACGCCGACTTCGAGGTGTATTTTCGTATAGTATTTATGGTTGTATTCTCATTTTCTTGGTCTCATTTGATAGAATGGAAAACATATTACAGAAATAGAGATGATTTTGATTAGTTTCACGATGAAAACGACCTTGAAATTGAACTCAAAGTAATGGAAATGTTCAATTTTTACCAATGTTCAGGAGTAAGCAACTCACACCACATGTCCAATACACGTCAACTGGGGAGTCCAATATCCATTCATTAGTGCTCTGATATTATTTATACCATTTTTACAATAATGTAGTAGTCTGCATAACAGTAAATCTTCTATTTTTTGTGTGAATAAAAAATCAAAATAGAAAGCAAGAGTAATATAAGAGGGGCCTGGAGACATGACTAATGAACAGAGGATATGTTATTTTAGTGCCAAGAATGTCTACATAGTTTATTCTGGACCCTATTTTGAAATTGGCATCTTTTTTAATTTGCTTGAAATTGGCCAAATTGCCAATTTCTGACCACTTTATTGAGTAGTTGAAATTGGTAAATGGGCAGTTTCTTGTACTCAGTTGATAGAAAAAATGGAGTCCTAAAGAAATAGCTATGAGTTTGGTCGACTGGAAGAATGGAATTTGCCGAAAATAGGGCTCAAAGTTGGTGAAATTGCTGATGTGTATATATTGCCGAGATCACTAACTTCACGGGAGCATAATTTCAGAAATTTTTGATCAAATTTTGTATTTTTGGTGTCATTACCATCAGGAAAAGATTCTCTATCATTTCATTTTTTTTTTTTTTTTTTTTTTTTTTTTTCAAAAATATTTTTTGACACGAGGAGACACTTCAGGATTTGGGGTTGCATCAGTCAAAGGGTTAAGTGAGTAGGGGCAGGTGGTTTTTAATGCTTGTCATGCTGTTAGAGCTAAACTAAGGTAACATCTATGAAGGGATTCAGGGAAATTAGCTAGCTGGACTTAGAGTTTTGGTGGTGGGATGGGCAGTGTCTGCACTCTGAAAGAGGGGGTCGGATTGTTGCAATTTGGAGGTTCATCTAAGCTGTGATATGAGCACACTTTTAGTAAGAAAGAGATGAATATATGTACGTTGGTGAATATCTTTCATTTTTTATGGATCATGGCTTGCCAGTAAGGTAAAAAAATATGTACATTTTTTTTTTTTTTTTTTTTTAACAAGTCGGCCGTCTCCCACCGAGGCAGGGTGACCCAAAAAGAAAGAAAATCCCCCAAAAAAAAATATTTTCATCTTCATTCAACACTTTCACCTCACTCATACATAATCACTGTTTTTGCAGACGCACCAAGATTCAACAGTTTAGAAGCATATACACATGTATAAAGATACGTAACATATCCCTCCAAACTGCCAATATCCCAAACCCTTTCTTTAAAGTGCAGGCATAGTACTTCCCATTTCCAGTACTCAAGTCCGGCTATATAAAAATAACCGGAAAAATATCCCTCTTATAATTATTAATGTTATTTCCAGGCTTTAAATTTAACCCTTTGACTGTTTTGGTCGTATATATACGTCTTATGAGCCACCGTTTTTGACGTATATATACTCAAATTCCATCGGCTTCAAATCAAGCAGGAGAAAGCTGGTAGGCCCACATGTGAGAGAATGGGTCTGTGTGGTCAGTGTGCACCATATAAAAAAAATCCTGCAGCACGCAGTGCATAGTGAAAAAAAAAAAAAACTCCGACCGTTTTTTTTTAATTAAAATGCCGACTTTGTGGTCTATTTTCATATAGTATTTATGATTGTTTTCTTGGTCTCATTTGATGGAATGGAAAACATATTATAGAAATAGAGGTGATTTTGATTGGTTTTACTTTGAAAAGAACCTTGAAATGGAGCTCAAAGTAGGAGAAATGTTTGATTTTTGCAATGTTCAGAAGTAAACAAATGATGTCATTTTCCAATAAATGCCCCAACTAGCCATTCTAATATGCATTCATGAAGGGGTTTGGGACATTATTTTATACAATTATTACAATATCGCAGTAGTCTGCATAACAATAAATCTTCTATTTTTTGTTTGAATAAAAATTCAAATAGAAAGCAAAAGTAATATCAGAGGGGCCTGGAGATGTGACCGATGAACAGAGAAAATGTTATTTTAGAGCCAAGAATGTCTGCATTGTTCATTCTGGACCCTATTTTGAAATTGTCATATTTTTTAATTTTTGTGAAATTGGCCAAATTGCAAATTTCTGACCAGGTTATTGGGTAGTTGAAATCAGTAAATGGGCATTCTTTTGGTACTCAATCAATAAAAAAAAAATGGAGTTCTAAAGAAATACCAATAAGTTTGGTCGACTAGAACAATGGAATTAGCCGAAAATAGGGCTCAAAGTGGGCGAAATCGCCGATTCGTAAATATCGCCGAGGTTGCTAACTTTGCGA